CCTTCCAAAAGGGGGGGCCGGGGCCGGGCCGCCCCCCCCCCCTAAATCCGCCCCTGATACTGATCATATCACTATAGCAGATTTTGCTTATACTATAGCTGATGGTAGTTAGGAAGTTAACCAAAATACTCAATATATGCCTATTAATTAATATTCAGCCGATTACAGGCCTTTAGGTTGGTTTATGACTTATGTTGTATTATTTCTGGACAATAAATAAACATTCTAACACGAATCATTATGTTTTCCAGAAGGCAGAAACACTGCCACCATATGTTGGCGCTGCTAGTTATTGCACGTTTTGTCACTTGTTTCGACACAATACAGGTGTTCTCTGCACGCTTAAATTAAAGGAAATTAGGCCTACTTATTAATGTAATTACGACATTCTGCACCGGAAGACAATTATAAGCTATCGATGCATAGGCCTAACCAGGGAACAGTGAAATTAATTTCACTGTTCCCTGGGCCTAACTGTAAACCATCACCCTTGGGCTCGTCAAATCAGTACATAATAATAATATTGATGATGATGATGATGATAATAATAATAATTAATAATAATATAATAATAATAATAATAATAGTAATAATAAATAATAATAATAATAATGATAACGATAATGATGATAAGGATGATGATGATGTTGTTGATAATGACGATGACGATGAGAATAATAACTATAACATAATAATATAAATTTTACTAATAATAATAATAATAATAATAATAATAATAATAATAATAATAATAATAATAATAATAATATAACTAGAGGGCGGTCGCAGAGTGCAGCATACCTCCGTGCGTCCACATCATAATTCTCCTCAGTATAAATTTCCCCCGCATACTGTCCCCATAAAGAAAAATAATTAAAAAAACAAAACAAGTAGACTCCTTGGGATTTGAACCCGGCGTTGGTAGTGTTTAAAACACTCTTCTAACCACTACACCAAACTCTTTTCACATAATGATATCACTTTAAAATTAATGGTCATATGTTTGTTTACACTTTACCGGCAAGCCCGTATAAGCACACACACACACACGTCTATACGGCAAACAGTTACCGTATACAAGTTTTTCTATCATTGTGTCCTTGACCTTTGACCCTAACCCTTCCAAATTTAGTAACCTCCAGATTTTTGGTAAATGAACATTGTGGCCAAGTTTGACAAATTTCTGATAAAAACTGTTACAAAAAAATCGGGGTTTTTTTTTGTTGATTGTGACCTTGACCTTTAACCCTTATCCTTCAACATTCAAATACTTTGAGATCTTTGGTCATACAAACTATGGTTTGTAGGCTGTTCACAATAAATATGCCGACAGACAAATAAATAAATAAACAGGGGCAAAAGCATAACCTTTGGTCAGTGAACATTGTGACCAAGTTTTTGATTAAAACTATGGGCTGTAGACAAATAAATAAAAACATAGTTTTTCTTTGATTGTGACCTTGACATTTGACCCTGACCCTTTAAAATTTAATCAGCTCTAGATCGTATGTAAAGGAACATTGTGGCCAAGTTTGATGAATTGACCACAGACATATAGCCGACAGACAAATAAATAACTAAATAAATAAATGGCAAAAACATAACCTCCTGCCAATTTCGTTCCATGGCAGAGGTAGGCCTACCGATGAATATAATAAAACATTTTGTCAAAAATGTTTATCTAAAATGTATTGTTCATTATTTCATTAGCTCATCCGTAATGCATACTTCTTTCACAGATTTCCCGCTCGAGCCATCGATATCATACGAAAGGGCAAATTGAGGTTAATGTTGCTACAATCACTGTTTATTGACAAGGCGTACTGGGATGGTGTTGGCGGACGACCAGGCATCGACAAAATACTTAACGTAATCATTAAGAGGGCTAAATTGTTCATTGAGTATTATGATACGCAAATAAAACCAACATATCATCTTCACAATGAGACGTAGATCTATGCAAGCCTGTCGGGAGTTAAATTAGCATGTGTGCTGTTTTATTGCAATTTACTTTTTTTCAGTATGAAGAGAAGGTTCGTGATAGAACACCAAACTACTGACGATGGTAAATCATGATACACTGTTGGTCGAATTCAATACAGAAGCCATTCAGTAACATTTAATGATTGTGATATCACCAGTGATAAGTATATAGCAGGGAGTTGATATTTAGATAACAACTCCCTGTATATAGCATATATGGGTAGTAGCACTACAAATGCAAAATCTTTGCAGTATACAGGAAACGAGTCTGAAACAACTTAAATTATATGCACATCATCTCACTATTCAACGCTGCAAAGTTCTATAACATTTCCTCGTCATTACTTTATTTTATTTTATTGCGATTTCAATGCCATGTTAATTAATTTTTATTCAAAAATCTTAAGGAGTAACAGTTTACATAGAGAGCTTCTGTCAACCAACAAATAAATCAATACTAAATAAATTCATTTCTCTTAAAATGGTTTTGTATCATGCACACATTCCCAGTGTTTTCTTAAATGACTAATTAATTTACAAAGAGAAAATAACAACAATTTAAAATGTACGCAATTAATTTTCTGTTCATCTTATGTATAATTATAGCCCTGGCCTGGTAATTTAGACGCCTACCAATTTGCCACTTGTTAAAATTCAATTGAATTAGTGTGAAATCGTATATTCTAACGTTTACAATATATATATATATATATATATATATATATATATATATATATATATATATATATATATAGGCCTATATATATATATTTCTAGCATTATAAACAAATGGTTATAATGACTTGTTGGAGAGCAGGAAAACAAGTTGTCCCTCCCCAGTACCGCCTGATTATAAATCGACGGAAAACCGATAGTTAAGAATGTACTCATTATATGCCTACATGTCAAAACCCCTATTAAGGGGACAATTTTTTTTTATAGTGTCCCCTCAATAGCAATACCACTATTCAGAAGAAAGCCCTAAAGGAACCCTTGTTTTGGTCGAGAGGGTGTTCCCTATATTATATAATAATAATAATAATAATAATAATAATAATAATAATAATAATAATAATAATAATAATAATAATAATAATATGCAGAAATTTATAACGGTAATTTCTTCAAAAGTTTAGGAAAAAAAATAGTACATGCGTTCGTTCACACAGTGAAGTTCTTGTAACTTTCGTAAAATTATACAAAGGTTTGTTTAAATATCTTAAATATTTTTCGTTCATGGTCTAATCTTAGATTTTTGTCAATGTCAAAAGGCAAAATATTAAAATATCAAAGTTTGTGAGTAAGAATCTTCCTCTTGAATGAGCCTGCCTGGTTTGAATTCAAAGTATATTTATTGTTTGATGGTAGTTTAAAATATATTTTTATGAAAAAAAAAACATTTTTCAACTATTGTATTACATTACTACAGAACATCAATAACAATTGGTCTGTACAACTTAAAATAGCCAATTTACTTTTTGCTCGGAACCTTACCATTTCAATTCTCGTGGCTACGGCCCTGCGTTAAAGAGTCGGATATGTTTGATGGTAGAATATAGAATATAGAATTGGATGTTGTTTGAAGTATGGAGGCTGTAGTCCATATACCAAAGCAAAAGCACATTTTTTATTTTCATTTGGACTTTTGTAGAACCTTTGAACAGTGCAATATGTTGGTATATTGCTGCATCCCACCAAATGATGGCTAACATATTTTACATTTACTGTTTTGATTGCAAAATAAAATATGAATATGGTATGAAAGAACAGAATAAATAATAAAGCATAATTTTTCATAGTGATTTTATTTTTCTAATTTTATATTAGGCCTAAAACTATAAAAAAAAAATTATGTCTAATCTAATTGCTGACAAATTAATAATATTGTTGATAATTAAAAAACTTTATAAACATTAACATTTAAGGAACTAACCAGCTAACAATATTACGGTTTAAGAACGTTATAATAACGTTACAGTTGGGTGGTAAAAACGTTATTTTGTAGAACATTATGTACGTACTTATAACATGTTACAACGTCACAATCGTTTGAACGTTCTTACAACGTTGTGTGAACGTTATGCTGACGTGACATACCTAACCACAACGTTCGCGAACGTTTTAAGAACGTTTTGTGTTTGCTGGATTAAGCAAATAGTAGGGAGCTTTCGATTTGTTCGATAACGTGACGCTAGAACGGAATTACTCATGCGGGACCGTCCTACAGAGTGTCCGACGTTCTCTGCATACGTAGGATTCCACGCGACAAGGAGAACTTAACGTTCTCGCAATCGCAGATGACTTTAGTGACATCATTATGTTCTACGTTCTACCGCCGTCGTGCAATCGAATGCTTCCTAATAAATAAAACAATAATAAAATATGAAACAATTATAGACCGCTACGAAAACACAACAATAAAATGCAGAGAGATGTGTGATGTTATTGATAGAGTGAACCAGTTCCTGGAGGTCGATAAATCAGCCTGTACCGTACTAATAGACGTGTTCCAATGGTTTCTAACAGAGAAAAGAACAAGGCTACGAACAAAAGTGGTTGAAACGAAAAGGAAAGTAGTACTAACACATGCAAATAGATAAAATAAAATACAGAAATATTATAATGGAGGGAATTGAGATGTGTCAAATAAGAATTGCGTGTTTGTATTATTTATTACACTCCAATACATCAAAATACAATAAAAACGGGGAAAATTGTGAACAGAATAAAAAATGAGAAAGGAATGCAGAGGATAGCTCTATAAGCCCTCCACAGGCTTGCAGAAATTCAGGAAAGTGGGGGTTTAAACATGGTAGTGAATTGTAAAGCTTGAGATTACAACACAAAAGGCGGACCACACTCACACAGTCGTCAAACGACAAGTGCACGTACAGTTAGTGTATGTAGCGGACCTAGGGTCCTTTTACATTTGAATGGAGTGTGATGGGTTCGTGACGTTGTGAGGACAGGAATTGTGCAGAATAGAAGCTTGAGATATTAAAACCGCGCAAAAGCCGGACCACAATCACACAGTCGTCAAACGACAAGCGCACGTGAAGGGTTGTACAGTTAGTGTATGTAGAGGACCTACGGTCCTTTTACATTTGAATGAAGTGTGATGGGTTCGTGACGTTGAGGACTGGAATTATGCAAAGACTTTAAAAGGAGCGTTTATCATTTAATTTGCTCAGTGATAACATGGAAGGAAACTTGGTTCTTCAATGGATGAGTAATAAGTCCAAATAGAGGCTGTTCTTGAAAACTATTTACATAAAATAAATTCTCCAAGCACAAACGGGCATATTGTGTGCTTAAATTCAGCGCATTATAATCTATGTCACGGGAAGTTCACAATTGTAAGGCATAGTAGCCTACCTCAAGTGGAAATCGCATTGTAATCAAAAGCTTAAATCAGACTACAACGCTTGTAGACTTGTTTGTATTGAGATAAGCGGGTCAAAGTTTTCACAACTTAATCATAAAATATGGTGTCCAAGAGAAGTCTCCGTCGGTTTTCACCTCACCTTTATTTCTGGAATGGTGCTTATGTGACCAAAATGTATGCCACTGTAGTACTTCTAGGTCTAGGTCAATATCTACATGAGCAAATTCATCTGTAGAGGTCAATATATTAACGTCGTGATGGTGCATTCAATGTTCGTTGTTGTAGTAATTGTGACTATATATGTTGTTGTAATGCTATTGCGATACAAGAAGCTTAAACCACTTAACGTTGCATTACTGGTGTTGGTAATACTTCTTGTGTATCAACTTTATGGACTAACAGCATCAAATGATAACGGTTACCGTATTGAGAAACCAAAAGGGTAAGTGATTGTCAATCTAGGGCGGGCAGAGTCACATGGCCATGGGCCAGGGGCGGATCCAGAGATGTCCAAAAGGCGGGTGGGGGAGGGGGCCGAAATTTGGGCCGATCGAGACAACACTGAAATAGGAGGTCCGGGGACATGCCCCCGCGAAATTTCTGTGTTTTAAATGCCCGAAAATAACATATTGAGGCGTTCTGGGCTATCGTTTTATTGGGT